AGCCTTGGAATTATTCAGGGTTGGTCGACCCAGAATCATGTTGTAGGCCGAGAGTTCTTCTACTACCAGGAACCGGACTACCATGTGTCGTCCTTCCCCTTTTTCGCCCAGGCGGATGGGTAAATCCACTCGTCCCAGTGGGTGGACGACTCCTCCTCCAAACCCTACTAAAGGGTGGGAGGCCGGATGTATGCAATCAGTCTGATATTTTAGTTTTGACAGACATTTGCTACTGATGAGATCTGAGGAGCTTCTGTATCTATGAGGATTCGGCCAACTCTCTGGTTGGCCACTTTACATTCAATAACGATAGGGTCGTCATGCGGCCCTCTTACCCCTCCTAGATCTTCTTCAGTGATGACAATCTCAAGAAATGAATATTTGGACGGCCGTTCTTGGTGAACGGAATTTACATCTAACCGCCTGATATTGTCTTTGTTGCCCCTAATAGTGGGGCCGCCTCCTGAGAAGCCGCCTGCAATGGGTAGACGACTGCATCATCTGTATCGGAGCTGTCGGCCTGTTGATTCTTTTTGGCCGACTGCTTTTTTGAGGAAGTGTTCCCCGTAGATTTCTTGACATAAGTGTCAAGATCACCTTGCTCAACCAGACGGTCCAGATACCGCATGAGACTGATGCAGTCATTGGTGTGATGACCAACATCATCATGATAAGCACAAAATTTATCTTGGTTCCGGTTGTTTGCAGAACCCTTCATGGGGACCGGCTTCTCAATTGAGATCCGTCCCTTGATTTCTTTTAGGATAAACTGGTTATCTTTGTTAAACGCATACTTTGGGGAGTATGGTTTGAATTCTTTTTTCTTTTTCTGCTGTTTAGGGGAATCAGCCGCCCAGACCTCTTTTCTTTTCTCATCTTTGTTTGACGACTGTTTCTGTCGTCCTTCTCTTTTGTCGAACCTTTTCCCGTCCGACTGTTTTATCGTACAAAGATCAGTCGCCTGTATATAGGCTTCTGCTTCAATCAAGGCCTCTTGAAGAGTCGCCACCCTTTTTCGAACCAAATCAAATTTGAAGGTAGACCCGTCTTTGAGACCTCTGAAAAAGTCAGTATAGGCTACCTCATCCGGTAACCCTTGAATCTGTATTCTCATCAGGTTAAACCGCCTGATGTAAGAACGAAGCCCCTCCTTCTCGCCCTGCTGAATTGTTCCTAAATCAAGGGTCGTTTTCTTCGCAGGGATGTTCATGGCGAAGTTGGAGGTGAATAAGTAAGCAAGCGTCCTGAAGCTATTTACACAACCAGTCGGCAGGTTGCCGAACCATTGTTGTGCGATTCCTTTGAGAGTCGCTGGGAAACACTTGCACCAAGTGGGATCATCCAACCCTTGAAGGTACATCAGGTTGGTGAATGCCATCAGATGGTCTTCTGGGTTAGTAGTGCCGTCATAGGCGCCTACTAGTACATTTTTCACTTTGGCCGGCTGAGCGGCTTCAGTAATTTCCTTGGAGAAGGCCGACGGCTGTTCACCAAGTCTAAGCAACCGTAGCTGCCAGTCCATAGGTTGGACGTTTTTTGCTGCAGGTCCACCAAACGGAGGTGGCTGCAAAAAATACTGTTGTTGCGGCACAAATGGTAAGTTTGGTACCGCCTGGTCGCTATGAAAGCCGGACTGACGGGAGGTGCCGCCTGACTGACTCTCATGATACGACTGAGTATGCCTCATCGAGGCATTTCGCAGACTGTCTTGAAAGTTTGAAGTAGAGGCCGACTCTGACAATCGGTCACTCTTCTTCTGCTCTAGCAGTAGCCGAGCGTCTGTGAATGTTTGCTTCGACCCGTCCGCCTGAATATGACGAACATGTTTCCTATTTCCTGTAGGAAAACGGAATTTTGTGAAATCAAGGGCAGGTGGCTCCCGCTTCCTAGATTTAGGATGAGGAGTCGCCTCTCGCCCTTGAACTGGCTTCCTCTTCAGTGAAGTGGAGGGTTTCTTAGCCGACTGCTCCTTGACTGGAGCAGGCGGCTTCTTGTTGATCAACTCTTGAATCTCTCCCTTGAAGTTCCTCATGAAGGTCATGAGTTCGTTCCTTGTAATGGGAGCAGACCCATCAGTCGGCTGTTTGAAGATGTTCCCGTTCCCTCCTTTTGGTATGACGGGTACGTCGGGCCCTTAGGGTCCCGTCTGAAGCTGTGTGAGCTTCAACTTCAAATTCACTCTCGGTATCATGGTCCGACTGAACTTGAGGGTCGTCTAGGGGACGCCTCTCTTCAAGAGTCGGTACAGACTTGGATGCCATCTCAGAAGTACTCTCCCCAAAGACGGCGCCAGATGTTTCGGGGTTTTCTGATGTCCTGCGGGAGAGTTACAATTCCGAGACTGGAACCGGACGCCTGTACCTGCAAAATAACGGAGACTCCTGGTGATGGGAGCTTCGCCTCCAACGGTCAAGTTAGTACTTCATTAAGGAGTAATTAATGCGGAAATTAAAGTGATTGGGTCTCACTAGGTGAGAGTGTTTAATGTAGGTAATCTGCTTTGTTAGCGAGATCAGCCGGTTATTACTGTGTAATTAATGTGTTTTTTCGTCCTTCCCCTTAATGAGGATTAAGGGAGGTATTTATAACCTTGGGAAACGTGCCCATCCTAGGTTTAGGTTAACCTAGGGCTGATTGGGCTTCCCTCGGAAGTTGGGCCTGGGTGGCCGGTTTCTCCATTAGGCATGGAGTATGCCACATGTCATGACATAATAGGTCCAAGGTGGACGAATAAGCGCGCGCCACGTGGAAAGCCCTGACAGTTCCAACTGGGGGACACTTGGCAGGACCTGATTGGCCCACGTGGCGCATTCCGATTGGTGGGAGCAAAATCCCCTAATCAGTGCTGATCAACAAGAATATCCGGTAAGATAGGAGCCGGAAAAGAAGGGTGCTTTGCTTGTAATTCTGAAAGAGTAGCATCATTGTAAGGGGCAAGACCAGAAGACGAAAGAACCCTAACCAGATATTATTATTATTATTATTATTATTATTATTATTATTATTATTATTATTATTATTAATATTATTATTATTATTATTGTCATTGTAATATATGCTAAAAAGTATGAAATTTGGCTTTAATTATCATTAGCAATATCATTAGACATAAAGATGAAATTAAATAGATCGGTACACCTAAACTAAATTGTCGTTAACAATATCATTAGCTAAATCATATAAAACAAAAAAATTAGCAAAAGAAAAGAACTGAACTGAGCTGAACTGAACTGAACTAATTGGGGCTGAGCTGAGCTGAGCTGAACTGAATTGAACTGAAATGAAATTAAGTTGAAGAGAACAGGTCCTAATTATGTACATTATCACGTTTTTTTAGTGTTAAGTGAGAGGATTTGATTACGACCGCTTTGTTTCTTTATTAAACTTATTTCACAACGTGGCTATTCTGGCTAATTTGATTTGCTAATGCTCTAAATAGTGATTGACATAAAAGAATCCAAAGAAATTATATTCGTTTTAAAGTGAAAATGGATATATTGCTACGTTCTCGACTCCCCACATCATAAGTGTGGATGTTATGCTTCGCAAAATGCACTGGCCGACAAATCATTTTCATCTATGACCCCGTAATTAAAAGAGGAGATGACCTTTCAATTCGTTTCTATTATTTTTTTGAATACATAGTTGATCAAATGTGACTTGAATTATTATTTAAGGGCTGGAGCACACGGGGTATGACTACAATTATTCGTCGTAGTGCTGCTCAAAATTGAATTATTAGATGGATGTTTCATGTTTACAATTGCTGCCCTAGTGGCTTATTGGTGACCTACTTGGCTACTTGCAAGAAGAGGGTAAGGATTTTCAATCTCAGCCATTTCTGTGGGTGAGGTCGATTATTAAGTAAATTTTATTGTCTTTCAAATATCTTTTTTCACATTTTGTCATGATAAATAATAATGCACTAGTATCCTTTGACATTTGCTTCATCAGTTCAATAGTGTGTGCAATAATGTCTATTTTTTTTTCAAAAATAAAAGAATAAAATAAAATAAAATTTGCTTAGATGTATTGCATATCAGAAGACTGAATATTTATTAATGTTGTCATTGAAAGTATTTATTGTTCAATCTACTCCTACATAAAATAAATAATATTTGTCATTGATGAACAATATGAAGCATTTGCAGAAAATTGTATGTTGTTTCTTGATTTTTTATCAAATAAGGGAACAACCAATTGCAATAAGTAACACCAGCCAACAAAATAACCATCTTTGTGTCATCTCGCCAATCTGGATCACACAACCCTTCCAAACTTAAGTCATAATTCAAAAATAGTTAAAATATGGTATTACTATGTTGTACTCCTAATAAAGGCTAAGAATCAAATAGTAAATTATTCTGTCTATTCCAATTTAATTATCACACTTTCTTTAGTGACATGAACCTACTAAAATTTTATGTCTTATCTCTTCCCCATTAAAAATAAAATAAAATAAAATAAATTTAAAATTATGGTCTCACTCTCAATCTCACTTAATTCAAATACTTCCTCTACTTAAATTTACATATACCACACCATTTACATGGCACAATATGTTAAATATATTGTATATATGTTAGTCAAAGTAGATAATTAGCTTAATTAAGATAATTATTAGGTCGGTGATGGTAAAACGCAACAGGTTGACATTGATTGTGGTGAGACTTTTACTACGTCCGATTGTCAAACCGGCCACTATTCGCACGATTCTTAGTCTCTCTCTCTCCAAGGCATGACCAATATATCAGTTGGATGTGAAGAATGCGTTTCTTCATCATGGTGAGTTACAGGAAACAGAGTATATGCATCAACCATTGGGTCACAGGGATCAGACTCATCCACATTATGTATGTATGTCTCTTGTGTAAGTCATTGTATGGGCTTAAGCAGGCACCCCGGGCTTGGTATAAGCGGTTTGCTAACTTTATGTTTTTATTGGTTTTACTAATAGCAAGAGTGATAACTCTCTGTTTATTTTAAGCAAGGGGTCCGACATGGCATATATTTTATTGTATGATGATGTTATAATACGCACTGCTTCTTCTGATGCTCTCCGTCGTTCTATTATGACCCTTCTTAACTCGGAATTTGCTATGAAGGATCTTGGTCCCTTGAATTGTTTGTTTGGTATTGCAGTGACACGACATAAGAGTGGTATGTTCCTTTCACAGCGTAAATATGCCGAGGAAATAATTGACCGTGCAGGAATGTCTTCTTGTAAGCCTTCTGCTACACCAGTTGACACCAAGCCCAAGGTCAGTGCTACTTCTGGGGTTCCGTATGAGGATCCGTTTCTGTATCGGAGTTTAGCAGGTGCTCTTCGATATCTAACATTCACTCAACCAGATATTTCTTATGCCGTGCAACAGGTGTGTTTACATATGCATGACCCGATAGTAGATCATATGCTTACCCTTAAGCGGATTATCAAGTACATTCAAGGTACTTTGGATCACGGCCTCCATCTTTACCCATCTGCATTTTCTACTATCGTTTCCAATACCACTACTAGAAATAGGCCGATTTACGACAGACCATTTCCGATGGATTTTTATTCCTTCGGAAATTTACGACGGATTTTCTACGGAATACAAATCTGTTGGAATTTATGGACTTTCCGACGGAATATTCCGTCGGAAACTTAATGTTTCGACGGAAATAAAATCCGTCGGAAATTTTCGACGGATTATTCCGTCGAAATAGTTATTTTCCGACGGAAATAAAATCCGTCGGAAATATTCCATCGGAATATAATTAAATAATAATAAAAAAAAACCCTTAAAAACCTAAAAAACACCCTAAAAAACCCTATTCTCTCTCCTCTCCTCTTCTCTCCCCGCCTCTCTTCTCTTCTTTCCTCTTTCTCCTTCCTTTCCTTCTCCTTCCTGTCCTTCCTCTCCTTCTCCTTCCTCGGCGCCTCACTCCTCTTTCCTCTTCCCCTCTTTCTCCTTCTCCTTCCTGTCCTTCCTCTCCTCTCTTTCCTCTTCCCCTCTTTCTTTTCTTTTTCGTTTTTTCGATTTCTTCTCTTCGATTTCTTCTCCAACAACAACCAACAACAACGACGCAACATCAGCACCAACAACAACATCAACCAACAACAATTACGCAACATCGAACAATGGCGCAACAACCCATTTTTCGCTCGTTTGTTGTTTTTACAATTTGTAATTTTATATTTTGTTTTTTTTTTGTTAATTTGCATAGATCTGGTATTTATTTCAATATTTTTTTTGTTTCGATTTGTATTTGTTCGTCTGCTTCAATGTGTATAGAACACGATTTTTTTTGTTTCGATTATAATAAAGTTCTGATCTGTATTTAGTTTCAATTTGTATAGACCTGGTTTTTTTTCAATATTTTTCGTTTTTTTTGTGTTTTTGTTTTCCCGATTTGTATTCGGAAAATTGGGTTGGAGGAATGGTGGTTACGGTGGGTGGTTTGGGCTGGGTGGGTGGTCTGGATTGGGTGGGGTGGGTGGTTTTTTTTCCTCTTTTTTGTTCCGATTTGTATTCGGAAAAATGGAGTGGGTGGAATGGTGGTTACGGTGGGTGATCTGGGCTGGTGGGGTGGGTGGAATGGTGGTTACGGTGGGTGGTCTGGGTCTGGTGGGTGGGTTAGGTTTGTTCTGGGTTGGGGTGGTGGGGGGTCTGGTTTGTTCAGGGTTGGGTTGGAGTGGTGGGGGGGTCTGGTCTGGGTTGGGTTGGGGTGGTTTTTCTGGGTTGGGTTGAAGTTGTGGGGGGGTCTAGTTTATTCTAGGTTGGGTTGGCGTGGTGGGGTGTCTGGTCTGGTTTGGGTTAGGGTGGTGGGGTGGTTTTTTATTTTATTCTTATTTCTGTTTCCGATGGAAATTCCGTCGGAAGTTTCTAACGGACTTGTATTCCGTCGGAAATTTTCGATGGACTTTCCGGTGGCCGGAACTCCTCTTCCGACGAGAAAATTCCATCGGAAAACACTGTTCCGAGGGAATTTCTGACGGAAAAGGCCGTTTTTCCTACAAAGTGTTTTACGACAACCTGTTCTGACGGAAATTCCGTTGGAAATGGGTTTTTCGACGGAATTCAAGGTGTTTCCGACGGAATTATTCCGTCGGAAATGGCCTGTTTTCTAGTAGTGTACTAATGCATATTGGGGTGGGTGCCTCGATACGAGGCGGTCTACATCTAGTTATTGTGTATTTTTGGGAGATAATTTAGTTTCGTGGCCGTCGAGATGACAACCTACTCTATCATGGTCTAGTGCTGAGGCCAAGTGTCGTGGTGTTGCCAATGTTGTCTCGGAGTTGTGTTGGATTCGAAATCTTCTCTGAGAGTTACATTGTCCGGTTAACAAGGCTACTTTGGTGTATTGCGACATTGTGAGAGCTATTTATTTGTCGGGTAATCCGGTTCAACATCAATTTACAAAGCATATATATTGAGATGGATATACATTTTGTACGGGAAAAGGTTGCGTGTGGACAGGTGCATGTTCTACATGTCCCATCTCGATATCACATAGCGGACATCTTTTCAAGGGTCTTCCGTAAGTCTTGTTTGACGATTTTCGGGACAATCGTCTCAGCGTTCGAAAGCATCCTACTTCGACTACGGGAATTTGTTAAATATATTGTATATATGTTGGTCAAAGAAGATAATTAGCTTTAATTTCTAATTATCTTCCTATTTTATAGTTCATGTTAGGCGTATTTTGTGTATATTGATTCCTAGTTTGTAGCCTAGGGTCAAGCCTATACTTTGTTTATATTCTGTACAATTGAATGAGTATAGCAAGGAAAATAAGGATAAGAGAGAGAAAGTCAAGCGTAAGGCCCCGTTCACTTCACCTTATTTTTGCTAAACTGAAATTATTTTTACTAAACTTAAATTATTTTTGCAGAACTGAAATTAATTTTACTGAACTAAAATTATTTTTGCTGAATTGAAATTATGTTTACTGATTTTTTATTATATTTCTTCTTTAAGTTTACTAATTTTTATAAAACTGAAATTATATTTACTGAATTGAAATTATTTTTGCTGAACTAAACTTATTTTTACCGAAGGGAAATTAATTTTACTGAACTGAAATTATTTTTACTAAATATTATTTTTCATAAGGTGAAGTGAATAGGGCCTAAGTGGTCGGTGCACATGATTTCATTATTATAAAGTTTTTTTTTCTTTTTTTTTTTTGTTGTTTAAAGTGAAGCTGACTAACAAAAGTTACTAAATACAATAAGATCGAAGGAAGTAAGCTGTAATAGAAAATTCTTGGAAAGCCTTGTGCAAACCTTCCTATAACGATTAAATTAGAACAAAGGGAGTATAATTTATATTAAACTAATTAGTTTTTCTATGTCGAGTAACAACTTGGGTTGTTGAAAAATAAGTACTCAATCTTTCTGTCCTTAATTAAAAGATTGCCTCAATCCCTTTATTTAACTTTTGTAAGGAACAAATTTAACAAAGCCAAATTTTAATGGGGGAGGGACATAGAAAGAACAATGGGGTTGCAATTGGAATATTTACTAAATAAGGTATGATATAATGTTTTAGGGACAATTATTTTAGGTTAATGGAACAATTTGGGAATATTGGAGTGTCATTTTTTTAATTTTATTTATTTACTTATTTATTTTATTTATTTTTTTTCCACTCATGCTTTAATATTAATGGGGCCATACTTATCTCGCCTAAATTTCTATTTGTTTCCCAAATGTCTTATATCACGTTTTTAGCAAGTTAATTGGACAAGCCAATTTAGTATGTTAAAATACTCACAATGATCCGCTAGCTTTATTTATACTCCATAAGCTTGAGAATTTACTCATTCTCTTATCAATTTATTAAAATTATACGAAGTAGACGTTCCAAATTAGAGTGCCCACAACATTTCACTTTCTAATTTAAGTTTCATTCTCTTAAATTCATAACACAAAATGATTGTACACATTTTATTAATATGAAATATAACAAAAGAACACAAAAACAATACGAATTACTTCGTACCATACACAAGACAAAAGAAGTACAATTGAACAATCTTTACCGACAACACTAAAAATTTGAAATTGACTAAGAGCCACACAATCCAAATACAAAACAATAATCCAAACAGTTCAATCTGTTGATTGGTACATAGCTCTACTATATTTTTTTTCAACAAGCATTTTACTTGCATGGAGGCAAAGGAGAGCCGCACAAACACTTGTTATGTGCATACGAGTACTTATCAACCCTCTTCAAATATCGGCTACTCGGAATTTTACCACACAACCGGTTGTAACTTACGTTGAAATTTTGTATATCTTGCTGTTTCGCCAATGTAGGTGGAATGCTACCGTAAATCATGTTGTGACTCAATTCAATATTATTTAAGCCTTTAGGAAATCTGACTTTAGTAAGGTCGAACGAAAATTTGTTCCTCGAAATGTCGATAGTTTGTAAGCCCTTGTTTGTCCCAAACAACATCGAGGCATCACCGGTGAACATGTTCCTATTAAGGTCTAGAACCGAGAAGTTGACCGCTCCTAGAGATTTTGGGAGCGGTCCATAAAGTTGGTTCTTGGCTAGCTTAAGGTAGAAATCCGGGTTGTTTTTAAACCCTCCAAAGCTCGCGGGGATTGTTCCTTTGAGTTGGTTACGCTCTAAGAAGAGGGCGCCGAGTTCGTGGAGGGATGATACGGAAGGCGGGATTGGACCGGTGAGTTTGTTTACGGAGAGGTTAATGTAGGTTAATTTAGTAAGCCGACCAAAAAAGTCGGGGATTGAACCGGTTAAATTGTTGTGGCTAAGCCATAAGAATTTAAGGTTTTTAAGCTTAGAAATGGTTTGAGGGATTGGACCGGTTAACTTAGGGAGGTTACTGAAGGTGAGTTGTTCAAGGTACGGGAGGTCCCCAACGGTGTCGGGGATGTGTCCCGCAACCTCATCGTCTCTATTGACTGAGAGGCTGATGATGCGGTGGGTTTTTTCATCGCAGCTGACCATGTACCACTCACAGCAGTCGCTGTCGTGTGTCCATGAGGCGAACATGTAGGCATTGTTGAAGGCTTTTTTTTATCTTGAAGAGGGTTTTTTTGTCGTCGGGGTGGCATTTTTCGGCCGAAAGTGTTGAGGCGAGGAGGAGGAAGAGGAGAATGGTGGAGAAGAGTGAGAGTTGATTATGGCTACTCATTGTGATTTTTTGTTGTAGAGTATTTGAGGATGGTGCTTGGCTTTTATAGGAGTGTTGTGACGAAAATAATAGCTCGTCATAATCATCAGATGAGTCGGGACTATAACAACAAAGCATTAGTTTCTAAATTATTTAAGGTCGTCATAAGAACTGTACAAACAAAACAAATAAAACCAAACAAATAACAATATCAGTGAACTTATGAAAGTACAGAAATAATGTTACTTGTTATAAAATGTAATGTTGCAACAAACAATTTACGTATTACTTGTAAAGTTGTAATTCATATCATCAGATGTGGTGTACCCTTTTAATCGATAAAATTTTAATGTACACCAAACCAACTTGTTTTAATCGATAAAA